TATTCTCACTTCAGCAACCAACAATAATTATGTGATATTTCGATGAGTACTTGGCACTTTGGTTGCATGGAAAAGAAAAAATATACGATTTCATTAACTTTTTAAACGGCATGGAAAAAAAAGAAAAATTTACAATGAATGTAGAAGAGAACGGATATTTACCTTTCTTGGACATGGAGGTCATTCGATCCGAGGAGACTGTTCAGAAAGAAATCACATGCAGTAATAATCCTTAATTTTTAGTCTAACCATATTCATAGAATAAAGATTGGAGTACTCAGGAGTATGGTCATAAGAAGCCTATGACTTACCGAGTTTGAGTTCTGAGAAGAGAAACTAAAAAAAACTAGCACTGATGTTTTTTGGGGAAATTGATATCCAACCGAAGCAATACAATGCAACATGTGGACTGTGATGAACAGATGGAAGGATAGGGATTATAAAAGGAAAGCAAAAGAAACAGGAAGCTGGGAAGTTATGGCCGATACTATTCAAATAAAATATTCGTACAATCTTGAAAGAAAGGACAACCCTCTTCACCAGGGTGCCCACACAAGAAGTCAAGAAAATGAAGTGCTCCGGAGTTTACTACATAAACTGTAAAGACTGTAAGCAAAAAATACATCGAAGATACGGAAAGGACAATCTGCACAAGGATAAAAAAACACCAGCGACTATGCATACAAATGGATACGGAAAGAGCTGAGATAGCTGAACACATCTCCCTTACTGGCCTAACAACTGACTGACGCCATATAGGGAAAACATCTAGAAACGGAAGATCAGGAATGCTGTGGACATCCTCTTTCAAAGAGAACTGATGAACAGAAGATTGGAAGAGGGAAGAGCCGGCCTACTGCCTGGGCCGACTTGGAGACTCAGCAAGGACAGCAAAATGAAGAAATTTGGACCAAGGACAACAATTCAACAATAAAAAGAGACATCTCCAAGGGGAGGATCATAAAGGAAGCTAAGAAAAAGCAATAAAAGCAAGAGGAGTTAAACCTAGAATCAACATGAAAATGTACCATTGTGGGTTTACTTGTGAGATGTGGAATAAGAAATAAAAGGCCAAGAACAGACAGAGTATGCTCCATCAAATGGGCTAGGATAAAGGTATAAGTGTGCCAGAGATAGGTCTCCAATGTGTGTGGGTATGTGATTGTTGGCATTTTCGGGTGTGTACCTCAATTAGAGGTGACTGGTGACAGGCCTGACCAAAAAGCAAACATTGTAGACATGAACAACTGACTAGTATTTTTCGTATTTTAGTAGAGTTTTAAGACTACTAGTATATCATTAATATGAGATGTATTCACCCAATTTCGTTTAAGGTGATTAAAAGCTGGTAGTAGAATTTTCCCACAATGATATGAGTAGAGCTGACGTTTCCATTAAATTTCACATTGCCTTGCTTTCCCAACAGTTGTTGTCATCCAGACACTAGTAAACTACAGTTTTGATCTCTCATAGGTCTAATCAACACTACCAGTTCTTCATCACCTTAGACGAAATAGAGTGAATGCATCTTATATTACTAATTTACTGGAAGTCTCGAAACTCTACTTACATACGAAAAATGGATTATGTCTGTCAAGAAGCTTGGCTGACATCGTCAAAACACGATATAATTCTTA